GAAGCAAGGATGGCAAGACTATGTCTCACATACTTTGGACATGTTATCAGGAGGGATCAGTCCCTGGAGAAGGACATCATGCTTGGTAAAGTAGAGGATCAGCAAAAGAGAGGAAGACCCTCAATGACATGGATTGACACAATGGCTGCATCACTAGGCTCAAGCACAACAACTAATGTGAGGATGGTGCAGGACTGGGCAGCGTTTCGTTCTGTTGTACATAGGGTGGCTATGAGTGGGAACTGACTCGATGGCACCTAACAACAACAACAAGCAGGTCTTCTGACTCTAATGTCTGCAAGAAATTATTATTTGAATAAGTTAAATTTGAAAATAAGTTTGATACATGTTGTTGTTTTGCTAGGTGCTGCCGAGTCAATTTTCGACCGATAGCAACTCCATGTAAGAAAGTAGAACTGCCCTACAGGGTTTGTTGTTGTTGTTAGGTGACATAGAGTTGATTTTGTCTCATGGGGACCCTATGTGAAAGAGTAGAACTACCCCTAGGTTCTTTGTTCTTTTATATTGGTTGCTTTTCTAATATTCTACCCTCCTTGCATTCCTGGAATAAATCCCACTTGGTCATGGTATATAATTCTTTTACTTTGCTTTTGGATTTGGTTTGCTAGTATTTTGAGGATTTTTGCATATACAGTCATAAGGGATATTGGGTCCGTAGTTTTCTTGTGATGTCTTTGCCTGGCTTTGGTATCAGGGTAATGCTGGTCTTATTGAATGAGTTAGGGAGTGTTCCTTTCTCCTCTACTTTTTTGGAAGAATTCGAGCAGGATTGGTGTCAACTCTTCTTTGTATGTTTGGTATAATTCCCCAGGGAAGCCATGTGGTCCAGGACTTTTTTGTTTTCATTGTTGGGAGGTTTTTGATTACTGTTTCAGTATCTTCTCTTCTTAATGATCTGTTGAGATTTTCTATATCTTCTAGGGTCAGTTTACATAGGTTGTTTCTAGGAATTTTTCCATTTCATCTAAGTTATCTGGTTTTTTGATGTACAAATCTTCATAGTATTTTGTTACAATCCTGTAATGTCTTCACTTTCATTTCTTATTTTAGTCATTTGTACCTTCTCTCTCTTTTTTAACGGTCTAGATAAAGGTTTGTCGATTTATTGATCTTTTAAAAAAGACAACTTCTGGTTTTGTTGATTCTCTCTATTGTTTTTCTATTCTCTATTTCATTCATTTCTGCTCTGATCTTTGTTATTTCCTTCCTTCTGGTAGATTTAGGCTTAGTTTGCTCTTGTTTTTCTATTTCTTCAAGTTGTAGAGTTAGGCTATTAACTTGAGATCTTTCTTCTTCTTGTATATAGTCATTTATTACTATAAATTTCCCTCGGGGCACTGTCTTCCCTGCATCCCATAGGTTTTTGTATGTTGTATTTTTATTTTCATTCGACTCTAAGTATTTTTTTTATTTCTCTCTTGATTTCTTCCTTGACCCATTGGTTGTTTCATAGTGTGTTGTTTAATGTCTACTTATTTGTGTGTTTTCCAATACCTATTAATTTCTAGTTTCATTCTCTTGTGGTTGGAGAAGATACTTTGTATGATTTCAATCTTTTTAAATTTATTGGGATTATTTTGTGATGTAGCATATCATCCATCCTGGAGAACAACTCATGAGCACTGGAGAAAAATGTTTATTTTTCTGTTCTGGGCTGGAGTGTTCTATATGTGTTTGTTAGGCCTAATTGGCTTATAGTGTTGTTCAAATCCTCTGTTTCCTTATTGTTGTTGTGTGCTGTCTGGTTGATTCTGACTCATAGCAACCTGAATAATATTCTTTCTAGATGTTCTTGCCAATATTGAAAAGTGGTGTATTGAAGTTTCCAACTATTATTGTAGAGTCATCTAATACTCTCTTCATTCTGTCAGTATTTGCTTGATATATTTTGGTGCTTTGATGTTAGGTGCATATATGTTTATAATTCTTATATCTTCTTAATGAATTGACCCTTTTATCATTATATAACATCCTTCTTCATTTCTTATTACATATTTTGACTTAAAATTTATTTTGCCTGATATCAATATGGTCACCCCTGCTGTCTTTTGGAAAAGATTGTATTTTGAAGAAACTAATAAGGATAATCTCTGCAAGAAAAAAGAGAAAGCAAAATATTATGTATTAAATTAGAAAATTATACAAAATTAAATTTTTTCTAGGGAGGAAGTATTATAAGCAATGACACTAAGAGAAATAGAACACATGAATAAACCCAAGACATTAAAGTAAAAGAATGATAGGCTAAATTGTGTGTTTCCTGGGTGGGACTCCCCAGGGCCAGAGCTGCCCAGAGGGGTCAGAGAGGGGACTTATGAGTCCTGCACAGGGAAGAAGAGAGCCTCCTCTTGAAGAGCCAGGGGCCCCTGATAGAGAATTAAGGACAGAAGGAGGGTTGGGGCACCGTGGAAGAGCTCTCTTCATTGAGTTTTCTTTCATTGTTTACAGATACATGGATCCAGATACATTCATTTATAACTTTAAAAATAACCCTTTAGGTACTGGAAAGTACCAGACCTACCTGTGCTATGAGGTACAGCTCATGAATGGCAACTCCGGGGTCCTACAGAACTGGATCAAGGGCTTCCTGTGCAACCAGGTGAGTGTCTCAGTGCAAACTCTGCCAGCAGGCCCTCCCCAAATCCATCTGGAGCATTGGTGTTCACTATGAAACATTTATGGGTAGAAGGTTTTCTTTGTGTCTCACAAAGTTTCTCTAACCTTTGTACCCCACTGTCCTGTAGGTCTGTCTTGGAGTTGGGTTGAGATGGGATCTGCTTTAGACTATACTCTGCGATTGGCTTCAGGCCACACTTTGGCAACAAGTCACCATATTCCATGTTCAGAATCACCCCATATTCCAGGTCTCACTCCACACCCCTGCTGATGTGCCCAGGACAGGTGGTATCAGGGCTGCAAAAGTTGGTTCTTGAAAACCATCATTACCCAACTCCTTGCTTCCAACTTAAATGTTAAAAAGAAGGCTCTGCAATATTTTACATTCTGATTTTCGCAAGGCACAGGTTCCCAAGTGTCTGTCTCCTGGCTTGATCTTGGCAGAAGAGAGATCTGAGGCAGGTGAGAGGAAGAAGGCAGCCCTGACCGGGGGTAGTGCCTACAATGTGGCAGGAGTCAGGAGTCAGCAAGCATTTGGGGAGGAGCAAGGCCAGGCCAGGCTTAGGGACCTCAGAGGTGAGAGAGGTTCATCCCTGCCCCCTGCCCAGGACGGCCTCTGCTGGCTCTGGCTCCAGCTGTGGATGCTCCTCTGGCCACTTCGGGCTGAATCTGGGCCCGATAGGACCCCGCCCACTGCTGAGAAGTACTTGCAAGGGCGCTGGTCCCCACACTTGCCTCATCAGCTACACTGAGCACTGGGATGCCCCAAGGCCACTTATCACCTCACCTGTGACACCCCATCACACTCTTCCATCATCTCTGCACTATCTTACTGGCCTGACTGTGTCCCAGTCCCTGGTTGAAAATCCTTTCACTGCAGTTGGGGCAAATCTCCCAATTTCTATCAGGACAGCAATGACTGTCCTCCCATCACCCAGGCCCTCACCTTGGGGGCCCCAGTCCTCCTGCACAGGGAGCTCTTTTGACAGAGTCCGTGTCTCCTCTGGGCTCAGCACAGGTGAGGTCCAGAGTAAAAACCTGTGGAATGATTGGTGTGTGAGCAGGTGGGATGGTACATGGGTGGGGGATAGAAGGGTGGAGAGCTAAATCCCTCCGTGAAGGAAGCTCTCCCAGTTCAATGATATCAGCCCAGTGACCTCGGGGCTCACCTGGCTCCCCCCTCCTCTCTCCTCCATCTCTTTCCTCCCTGAAAGGTCAGGATAAGGGGGAGGCCTGTGAAGGCACTGGCCTTGGGTGCAAAATTAGAGGGGGCCTAGAAAAGTCAGTAATCAAGATGAATAGTATTTTAATGCAAGATAAATAATATTTCAATACAATATATTGCATTAAAGTATTTTTTACCATGATTGCTGAGGTTTGACCACTCCCCTCCTCCTCTAATTTTGTGCTGGAAGCCAGTGCTTCACTTGCCTGATCATGTTCCTGGCCCTCCTCCCTGTTCACAGCAAGAGCCTAACTCTTTTCTTTCTTCTCTATGTTCAGTCTGATCCTGATCCCCAGCTATGCTGCCATGCAGAGTTGTGCTTCCTGGACTGGATCTCTTCTTGGCAACTGTACCCTGGGCAGCACTACAGCATCACCTGGTTCCTGTCTTGGAGTCCTTGCCCTGATTGTGCCCAGGAAGTGGCTGCCTTCCTGCAGAGGAACAGCCACGTGAGACTGTACATCTTTGCTGCCCGAATCCATGACTGCTGTGAAGGATATGAGGAGGGACTGCGTTCACTGGACAATGCCGGAACCAACATTGGCATCATGACCTACAGAGGTCAGAGTGGAACCATGGAGGGGAGAGCAGTAGCCTGGGAAAGGAAGTTGCTAGAAGGGATGGGCAGGATTTAGAATCCCTGACAGAGAAACCTGTTTGCTGTGGCTGGAGGTGACAGTAGAATCAGGACAAGACTTGGGAGTCTAGTGGAAGAGACAGCTCAGGGGAGTAGATGTGGTCCAGGGGATGGAGGGAAGGAGGTTGAAGGTGGAAGAATGACTTGGAGACTTCCAAAAAGAAGCAGCTTTGGGTGGATCAGATTCCAGTTGGAAGAGAGAGTTTGGGTTTGATGGAGGGAGGAGTTATATCCTTATGAAGAGGGAAAAAGGGAGAAAGAGGTAAAAATTCTGATGCAAAAAGTCTATCCCTAAGAGTTGTACAACCTTGTTGCCCTTGAATGGATGGAACTTGACTTTTCCTCCCCTCTCTTGTTTCAGAGTTTGAGTACTGCTGGAGAGCCTTTGTGGACAACCAGCTATGGCCCTTTAAGCCCTGGCGCGGGCTGAAAAGAAACCATGAATTCATGTCAAATCAGCTTCAACGCATTCTCCAGTAAAGGATTTCCTACTTCCCTCTGGTCCCCTAACTGTCCTCCTCTCCATTCTCTCCTTGAGCCTTTCCTTCCCCTCTGCTCAGAGCCTCCTCATGATTCCCTGCTCCCTACGGGGACATCCAGCACCTACCTTTCTGATCTTTCTTTTAAACTCACTCTGCTTTTCTCCCTCCTTGTGTCCTTTCTCTCTCTTATCTATAATTTCACTGTCTCACAGTCCCTTCTCTGCTTCTTCCTTCAAACTTTCCCACTCATCTCAGAAATTCTCCTTATCCCCTAGGTGGATGGAGGATAGACAACTAGAAGATAGACATCAGTATTTCTAACAGAGGCAGGGGATCTCTGTTGAACAGGGGAAAAAAATCTCTTCTTTAAAGAAGAGTAAATACTCTGTTTGCCACAATCTCCTGATTAATCAAAACTGAGCAATAAAATGCAAGAAGTTCAAAATGAATGTATTTCTTTAAAACATCATGGTAAGAGTGAATTCAGCCAAAATGGTGGAGTAGGGACCTTCAGGGGCACATCCTTCCCAAAAGTGCGCACGTGCACGCACACACATACACACACACACTAATCTTCAAAAACTGTTAGAACAAACCTTATGGGAACTCTGGAAGATATTCAAAGGTTACAGCAACCAAATGAATGTTTATCCATGAGAAAAGCTGCTTTGTGGTGTTTTAACTGTTGGATTAAAAAAAAAAAAGATAGTTAAAAGTGCTTTAAATAAATGTTCATTAGGTGGCTAATTCTGCTAGCAGAGTGTCCTAGTGAAAACACTAGACTGATGCTCTGCTAGAAATTAAAACAAAGAATTTTATTAAAGGATAAAGACAAAAAAAAAAAAAATCATTTCGAGAAGTGGGAGAGCATATACACAGATCCCTAAGTGAGATGGTGCAGTGTGTCTCAGCTCCCAGGGAGAGTAGTGAGGTATGTATTAGGTAGAGCAACAAAGGCAAGTGTTTTCACATCAAGGGGAAGGGGCTTCACAGGAGAAGGAAGAAAAAAGTTACAAGGGTTTGTCAAGATACAGACTTTCCTAACATCAATTTCTAACTTAACATTAATCTCTTATTTCCAGAAATAAATTGACTAGAGCAAGATGTGTAACTATTCTTGATATGGGGGGTTAGTGATTGATTGTAGACCAGTCAACTCTAGTTGAAGTCCTTGAAATGTAAAAGTTGACTATTTGGTTAGGAAGGAGTGAAGATTAGATCAGCTTCAACCTGAAGTCTTTTGAAATGTAAACATCAGCCATCTGGCTAGGAAGGAGTGAGTTAGAGTCTAGTCATTTACTGGATGAATTGCCTGAGAGCGTTAAGATAGCATGATTATTTACATAAGCTAAGGCACAGATCTCTCCACTCTTTGTCACAAGCAGTAAAACTTTCACAGGAAGCCAAATTGTCTTTGTAGAATAGCTGAGGCAGGCCTCCAATATAGCTGTAGCTTAATTGAAAAAGGAATTTCAATTTCTGTCTGGGATTAATCATTTCAATCATGCCAAACAGCCCCAGTTTTAAGGTGTGTGTATCCAGGAGCTTGGCCGAAAATTGCTACCAAGCTCCCTGTTAGCAAGAAGGGAAGAAGTTATATAGGCAGTGAGTAAAATTTCCCCTAACAAAGAAAATCTAAGTGACTGGTTAAGTGAACAAAGAAATTCTAAGCAATTGGTTAAGTGAGAAGTATCTAATTGAGCAAAGGATTATAAAAGCAGGGAAAGCTAATTCACTGGATACTTGGAGAAATTCTTTCTTTGTGTTTGGTTTGACTTTGATTTTCAGAGTCAGAGAGACTCAGTTTGACAACCTGATATAACCCAGTCTTTTTTGGTCTCAATTAATGTCTTCCAGAGTTCATGGGTATTTTATCTCTTATGAGAGACCTTATTTTATCCAATACATTTACCATAAATTTGGTGCTGCTTTGAAAAACAGGTCTGGAGAATGCCCAAAGTTACGGTGGGCTAGCCAAATTTATAGCTTGAATTTGAACATTTAACGTAACCTAGTCTTACCCTGCTTCCCTCTTAGGTAGACCAGCAGCTTGAAGATGGCAGTCTGCATTCTTTGTGTGGGTACCTGTTCCCAGAGGGAGCAGAGTGGACCTTGTTCTCAAGGAGTTGTTTTTCTGTTTTGACCTGTCTGTGGGTTCCCTGAAGGACTGACACTAGGGGCCTATCTATGTTTCACCTAACTGGGAATTCTCTTAGGGCAGAGAAGTGGCTATGAGAGGACACTCCTTAAGAACACTGAAAGCCAAATCAGTTAGCAGCTGCTGCCTGGGGCAAAAACTAACAAAGAGGCAAACAATGCTGTAAGCTGGGTAAATGTCTTAGGCCAGGTTCTCTAGAGAGGCAAAATCAGTGAAGCGTGCATACACACACACACACACATATAGACACACACACACACAGAGATTTATATCAAGGAAATGCTCACATGGTTGTAGAGGCTGGAAAGTGTCAAGTCTATGGGTCAGGCTGGAGGCTTCTCCCAACTCACTTAGCTGCAGGAGCTAGTGAACTCAATATCGGCAGGTCAGACAATAGGCCTCTGGCTCCCAGGCTGCAGAGGCCAACAAATCCCAAGATCAGCAGGTAAGCTGGTAGGCTACTAGCTCACAGAGTCTGTGGAGGCTGACAAATCCCAAGATTGACAGGTAAGCTGCCAGCTCATGTCCCAAGAACTGGAGGTCAGATGAACAGAAGCCAGATGCAGGATCCAGAGCAAGCAAAAGCCCACAAGCCTTGCCAGAAAGTCCACCTATATTGGATGCAGGCTACCCCCCAAGGAAATTCCCTTCAACTGACTGACTCTCACAGCAGATCCCATTATGGAGGTGATCACAGTATATCAGATCTCATCATGGAAGTGATTACATCATTATAGGACTGCCATAAACATCATAACTGCCAAACCACTGAGAATCATGGCCCAGCCAAGTTGACACACAACCTTAACTATCACAGTAGGACAAGCTCAGGAGGGAGACTTTTTGGGTAATTGTTGTTGTTAGTTGCCCTTAAGTTGATTCCAAATCATGGTGACCCCAGGTGTGCACAGTAGAACTGCTGCAAAGAGTTTTCAAGGCTGTGACCTTTTGGAAGCAGATTGCTAAGACTGTCTCCCAAAGAGCTTCTGGGTGGGTTCTAACTGCCAACCTTTTGGCTAGTAATCAGGCACTTAACCATTTGCGTCACCCAGGGACTCTTTTTTGGGGAATAAGGACTTTGAAAAGCTTCCATGTGTACAGGGGAACCTAGAAAGTTGCATGAAAGCAGTGCTCAGAGAGAAATGTACAGTTATAAATGCCCACATTAAAAGGAAGAAAGATCTCAAGTCAATAACCTGACTTTACACCTTAAGGAACTAGAAAAAGTAGAGCAAACTAAACCCAAAGCTATCAGAAAGAAAAGAAATAATAATGATAGAGTGGAGATAAACAAAAAAATGAATAATAGAGAAATAGAGAAAATCAAAGGAAAAAAAGTTGATTCTTGAAAAGTTTAGTACAATTTGCAAATATTGAGCTAGATTGACTAAGAAAAAAAGAGAAGATTCAAAGTAATATAATAAAAATGAAAGTGAGGACATTACTGCAGACCTTAAAGAAATAAAAAGAATTATAAGAGAATAGTGTGAATAATTGTACACCAACAAATAAGAACTTAGAGGAAATGGAAACAATTCTAGAAACACACAAATTTCCAAAATTGACTCAAGAAGCAATAGAAACTCTGAACAGATGTATAACAAATGAGGAGATTGAATCAGTAATCAAAAACCTCTCAACAAAGAAAAGTCCAGAGCAGATGGCTTCACTAGTGAATTCTACCAAACATTTAAAGAAGAGTTAACACCAATCTTTCTCAAGTGCTTCCAAAAAACAGAAGAGGAGAGAACACTTAGTAACTCATTCTATAAGGCTAGTATCACTCTGATACCAAAGTCAGGCAAAACACACACACAAGAAATATCCCTTATGGCTATGGATGCAAAAAACCTTGACAAAATACTAGCAAAGTGAATTCAACAGCATATTAAAAGGATTATACACTATGACTCAGTGGGATTTATTCCAGGAATGCAAGGATGAGTCAACATAAGAAAATCAATAGATGTAATACACCAAATTAATAGAAAGAAGTAAAAAAAAAAAAAAAAAAAAAAAAAACACCTGATCATCTCAATTGTGTTTGGCACTGGATGCTTAGATATAACACCAAATGCATAAAAGACATAAGAAAACAATAGATAAATTGGACTTCATCACAATTAAAAACTTCTGTACAGCAAGAACAGTATCAAGGAAGAGAAAAGACAACCCACAGAATGGGGAAAAACTATTTACAAATCATACATCTGATAATAGTCTAGTATCCAAAATATATAAGAACTCTTATAAATCAACAACAAAAAGACAGCTCAATTTAAAAAATGGGTAAAGAGATTGAATGCACATTTCCCCAAAGAAGATATACAAATGGCAATACACACGTCAAAAGATGATCAACATCACTAGTCATTATGGAAATGCAACTCAAAACCACAGTGCAAATCAAAACTTCATGCCCTTAAGATGGTCATAGTGAAAAAAAAAAAAAAAAAAGGAAAATAGCAAATGGCAGGAATGTGGAGAAACTGGAACCCTAGTACATCGCTGGTAAGAATATAAAATCATGTGGTCACTGTGGGAAACAGTTTGGTGGTTTCTCAAAAAGCTAAACATAGAATTACCATACGACCCAACAATTCCACTCAAAAGAATTGAAATCAGAGACTCAAGCAGATACTTGTACACCAGTGTTCATTGCAACACTATTCACAATAGCCAAAATATGGAAACAACTCAAATGTCTTTCAGCAGATGAACGGTGTGATGGTTAAGATTCTGTGTCAGCTTGGCTGGACCATGATTCTCAGTGTTTATATGTGATCACTCCCATGATAGAATCTGCTGTGAGTAGCCAATTAGTTGAAAGGGCATTTCCCTGGGGGTGCGGCCTGCATCCAAATATAAGCAGAAGTTCTGGCTTTTTGCTTGCCCTGGATTCTGCAGCTGCCCCCTGTTTGACTGACCTCTGGCTCTTGGGAATTGACTATCAGATTATCTGCTGATCTTGGGATTCGTCGACCTTCACAGCCTGTGAGCGGGAGCCCTGCCCTCCGACCTGCCAATCTTGGATTCACCAGCCCCTGCCACTATGTGAATCAGGAGAAGCCTTGCGGTTTTGCCTGCCAATCTTGAGATTTGTTGATCTTACAGCCTATGAGGAAGAGCCCTGCTCTCCCACCTGCCGATCTTGGGTTCAGGTGCTCAGACACTCTGATGAGGCCCCCACCCAGGGTGGGGCTGATTTCCTTCCTTGGGCTCACATTGCTTCTTGTCCTGAGTTTGGTTAACCCGTGTTCCTGCTGGACACAGACACAATGGGGCACTTAGCTCTTGTTTGGGGGATTTACCCATACTAGATTCTGCATCAGGGCCAAGTACACTCCTGATAGGGACCAATGGGGGTAAAAGAAAGTTTCCTTTTTAAATAATCTAAGGAATTTTTTTTCTAATTATTAAAATAATCGTAAAGTTGAAAATAAAAATTTTCTCTTGGCCCCAGCTCTGAGGCTTTTCCACAGCAGAAATGTCAGGTCTTCCTTGGGGACCAGACAGCAGAGGAGGGAGTGGGCACCAAAGACGAACCCAAGGCATCCAGCCCAGGAGCCGAGGTCAGGCTGAATACGTGGACATAGCATCCCAGGAGGCCATGACTAGACAGGACAGGCCAGCAAGAGTGAGGAAAGGAGAGGACGAGCCCCAGGTGCCAGAGCAGGTGCCCCTGAGAGGAGAAGGTGGGTCCCCACCAAGGAAGCCCCGGAGGGGGAGGCCTGGAAGCAGAGAGGCCAGGAGGGTGGGCACCTGGTCCTCGGGGCTGTGCCTGCCTCCATCTCCTCCTTCTCCTTCGGTACTGGACCCCTGTTCCTCCTTCCACTTCTCAGTGTCCCATGTGTCAGGTCCTCGTCAGCACCCTCAGGACTCTGTGACAGGGTCCTGTGGACACAAGGGTCAGTCCCACCTGGAGTCTGCTCCCTCTCACAGCACAGAGGGTGGGGTCTACTCTCCCAAGGTAGGCCCCTCCTGTCTGAAGGTTGGTCCCTTTTCCTCGAGTGACTGCATCTTGTTGACATTTTGGTCACTTGCTGCCAGAGATGAAGGCAAGGCTGTTGTCAGACCTAGGAAACCAAAACCAAAGAGGCAATTTTGATGACTAGCTTCCTCCCGTACACACCCCTTTCCCCACTCCACGAGAAGTGTGGAAATCCTCTGATTTGGGGCAGAGTAGTGGTAGGCATCTGGGTGTGTCTGGGGTACCCCGAGGGGTGTTCTTTTCGTCAACTATTGTGTCATTGTGTGAGAGTGTGTGTAAGTATGTGTGTGTTTTAGTGTGTAAGTGCGTATGACTGTAAGTACGCTTGTGAGTGAATGTGAGTCTGTGTGTGTGTGTGTGTGACTGTGTTTGAATGTGTGTGTTTGTGCACGTGTGTATGTGCATGTGTCTCTGACCCAGGAGAGGAACTGGACCATTTGCCCAGTAACAGCCCTGCCTGAGGCCCTGTCTTTGCACATATACACGGCTCCTGAGACCCTGGGGGACATCCTGGGGTCGGAGCCACTTTCTGTAATCAGCAAATAAGACACACATCCCAGAGTCAGCAGTCAGTGCAGGAGGCACTGGGACAGACAGAGCTGAGCCATAGCCATGACCCTCTGCAGCCCTGACCTCAGGGTCCTTCTCTGCTTCCCGACCTGCTACCTCAGGCTTCCCTGGAGATGCCTCCCTCTGCAGCTCCCTCTGCCTGGGCAGCTCCTTCCTTCCACCTCCACCTCCCCTCCTTCCTCCACCCGGGGCACAGCTCTGGCCACCTGTCCTCTCCCTGGGTTCCTTCCTGTCCCAGGTCTCTGTGGTGGCCTCTCTGCTGAGACCCCCATTCTACCTCCCCGGCCGACAGGCCAGGTCCTGGCTGCAAATGGTGGGGGTCTGCACGTGCTGGGGGGCTGATGGTTCATCTGTGGATGAGTGAGCTATTGATGGAGAGAACTTCCCTCTGTTTTATACCAACGTTCTCATTCTTGGGTGCTTGTTGCTCTGACATTGTCCTGTACACTGCACTTGCATCATCACCTAACTGTCACACATTCCCACACAGTCGGTCACTATCACTGTCCCCATGTGACACTTGAGGAGCCTGAGGCCAAAGGGGATGTCACCAGCCCAAGGTTTCTGTAAGGAGCAGCAGAGCCCAGGTTCCAACCCAGCAGTTTCTGACTCTAAAGCATCCACGTAAGGACTTTCCTCAGGAGACACGTATGATGCGGCTACTGAGGCATTGGGGGAGGGAAGTGGGGGAGGGTCCGCTGGGAGGCAGGTCAGCCAGGAACCAGGTGAGGAGTCAGATGGGGCAGCAAGTGAGGGAGGATCCGCAGAGAGGTGAGGGGTGAGGGCAGAGGTGAGAGAAGAACCTGGAAAGAGTGGAGGGGGGCAGTGGCCATAGGACTGGGGACCCCAAGTGAGGGAAGGGTTGGGGGCCCCAGCAAGGGGTAAGAGAAGGAGTCTCAGAGAGGGAGGAGGAGCCAGGGCGGAGGCGGCCCAGGAATCAGAGGAGGGAGGGTCCCAGCACCCTGTGCCCAAGGGCCTCCACTGTCCCATGTCACTGTGGGCTCCTGACTCTGAAACCTCCGGGTCCACCTTCTGGCTGCAGGGCAACACCTAGAGGCCTCTCTGCCGTGTCAGCTGTGGGCTCCTCTGTATACAAGAAGCCCTGTTGTTACCATGACTATCTTTATTACCATCACTGCTATTGTTCTTATTGTCATTTTTCTGAATTCCTTACTGTTCTCTCTCCTGTCACAGGTGGCAGGAGGGGCAGACCGCACACCAGCCCTCAGGGGAGTGTGGTGGACAAACTCAGGCGACCCCAGTGACCCTTCCTCCATGTGGTCATACCTTGTGTGGTCCCCTCCTTTGAGAGTGGTAGGACCTGTAACTTCCTTCTGAAAACAGGATGTGGCAAAGGTGATGGGATGCCTTGGTCGCATTACATAATGTAATGTGAGAGCCCATCTTGCTACCATCTCCTCTGGAGACTCTCTCTGGTGCTGATGCAGGCAGTGGACAGGTTGGGAACCCACAATAGTTGACAAAATGGAACTTCCTCAGGGTGCCCCAGTTGCACCCAGACACATACCACTGTAGGCAGCCTCTTGTAGCTGAGGGTGGTCTCCACCAACAGCCACCAAGAACTAAAGCCTTCAGTCCTAGAGCTCAAGGAAGCGATTTCTACCAACAGCCATGGGAGCTAAGAGCCCAGCCTGGCCGCCACCATCAGTGCAGGCCCTTGAGGACCCAGCTCAGCTACGCCAACACCTGACCAAGAACCTGGGAGATGGTCAAGGTGTCCTGTTTTAGGTGGCAATTCTGTGGGGGTACTTAGTTACTCAGCAATAAAAAAATAATACTGAGAGAGGAACCTTCTCATTGACCCATCTCCATTTGTAGGTTGCTCTTCAATGCTTAGTCTCTCTCCTTTTTATTTTCTTATCAAATGGCCTGTCATTTCAAAAGTAGTGTTGGCCAACAGTATGATAAGTTGTCAATGAGTCTAGGTGTTTGAATTCTAGGTTCCCCTCCTGAAAGGTCAGTGGATTTGTACTCCTACCAGAGGGAACTAGCATGACCGTCCCTGCCCCCCACATGCGGACACACCACCAAAAAGAAAGCTGTTTATATGTTTGCCAGTGTTTATTTAACTATTTGGAATTTGTGATATTCTTACAAAGCAAAAAATAATTTCATAAAGTTTCTCAGTAGTTCATTTTATTGCTCTGGATTTAAAACCGATTAAATAATTATCATATTAAAAATTGAAATTTAAAAAAAATTGAAATTCATTCTGATAGTATTGATTATAATTTTTTATAATCAATAATAAACATACAATAAATTTTAAAGTAATTCTGCTGTGATTTTAAAAAACTTTAATACTTGTGTGCTCTTTGTCTTTTGCCACTCAATTTTGAGCAATCTAGAGATCGTGGTGAACTGTGTGATTACATTTCCTGAAGGCAACTGATTACGTTTCTTTGTTCAACAGAGGTTCCCAGCCTTCTCTGTAGATACTAAGGGTGTCTTCTCAGTTGTTCCCATTCTAGAAAGAGAAATGGAGCTGAGTGGAGCATGGGAGTGGGGCACTTAGAAAGAAGAAACAGAGAAGGGGCTGGGACTCAGTGAAAGGAGAGAGAAGAGGAGGGAGGGATACACGGAAGGAGAGAAGCAGAGGTACTTGGAGAGAAGGGCTAGAAGGGAAGGTGCTGGATGCCCCCATGGAAGCAGGAGACAGAGGAGGCTCTGAACTGAGGGGAAAGAGAGGAGAGAGGGGAACAGAGAAGACCAGGGGAGAGAGGGAGCTCTCACCTCTAATATGCTCTGCAGTCTCATCTTTAAGTTCTGACTGTTCATATTCAGCCTATTCCAGGACACAAAGAGACATCCCTTGTTGTTCACAAAGGTTCTCCAGCAGTGCTTAAACTCTGAGGGGGAGAGGAAGACAAAGTCACTCCCAGCCTCAGGGGACAATAAACGTGTGTAACTCTTTTTTTTTTCTTTTGGCGGTACAACAATAAGTGTTTATTTATGTGTCTGGAGTTAGCTGGATATAGGCTGGGTGGCTCTGCTGATCTTTTTTTTTTTTTCCTCCATTTCTAACAATCTTTATTTTTTTCCCCTAAATTTCCTGGACTGAGACTGTATTTTTTTTTTTTAATTGTGATTTAGGTGAAAGTTTACAGCTCAAGTTAATTTCTCATACAAAAACTTATACACATATTGTTATGTGACCCTAGTTGCAATCCTTATAATGTGACAGCACACTCCTCCTTTCCACCCCGGGCTTCCCATGTCCATTCTTCAGCTCCTATCCCTTTCTGCCTTCTCATCCCACCTGCGGACAGGAGCTGCCTACTTCATTTCACGTATCTGCTTGAACTAAGAAGCACACTCTTCACAAGTATTATTTTATGTTTGATAGTCCAGTCTCATCTTTGTCTGAAGAGCTGGCTCTGGGGTGCGTGACTCTTAGGGACAGACTTTCTGCATCATCATTTCCACCTTCTCCTTTTTTCCTTCCCTCAGGAGCTCAGTTTCTCCCTTAAATTCTTTCTTCCAGTTGGAATATAACCCAGCCAGAATCTCCTTTCTGGAAGCCCCCAAGTCCTTCCACTTCCAGCCACCCTCCGTCCTGTCCCCTGGACCTCATCCCCTCCCCTGAGCTCTCTCTTCTACTAGACTCCCAAGTCTTGTCCAGGAGTCTCCCATCACCTCTGCTGTCAGTAACAAAGGATTCTCCACCCCTTCTAGCAACTTTCCACAGCCCTTTTCCAACCTTCCTTCCACCCCACATGAGTTCCACTCTCACCTGTGGAGGTCATGATGGCCACTTGGGCCCCGGCCCCCTGCAGTGAGCGCAGCCCCTTCTCATATCTTTCCCGGTAATCATAGATGCGGGCGGCGAAGATGTGCAGGCTTATATGGCTGTTCCTCTCCAGGAAGGCAACAACTTTCTGGGCACAGTCAGGGCAGGGACTCCAGGAGAGGAACCAGGTGAACCTGTAGCGCTTCGTGGGGTCCAGATGCCAAGAAGGAACCAGGTCCAGGAGGCACAACTCTGCATGGAGGCCTGGCTGGGGATCATAATGAGACAGTGTAGACAATAGTGTTAGGTCACTTGTGAACAGGGAGCAAGGGCTGGACTAGGATGAGGCAAGGGCCAGCACAAAACTAGAGGGAGCAGAGAAAGGACCAAAACCACAGCAATGACGGTAGATAATATTTTGATGCAGTATTGAGAACATGATCAGTGCTAATGATTTTTTATTTTGCTTCACTTCCAAAGTGGCTCTGTTCAGCACTGTTCCTGCTCTGTCTGTAATTAAAATGTGAATATTTTGTTCATCATGAGATTTTTTTCATTACTTTTCATTATTTAAATGTTGCATTAAAATATTATTTATCTTGCATTAAAATAGTATTCATCTTGAGCGGAGGGGCTTCAGAAAATTTTGCACCCCAGGCAAGGGCCACCTCTGCCTCCCCATCGTCCTGGCCCTGCAGGAGAATATGAAGAGCTGGCGGTGGGAGGAGGAGGTAAAGCGGGAGCCCGAAGGTCAATGGGCTGATGCCATTGACCTGGGTGAGCTTCCTTCAGGAGATTTGCCCTCCACCATCTACCCCTACCCACCTGCCTCTGCACCTGCTCACACACCAATCATTCCACAAGCTTCTACTCTGGGCCTCACCTGCGCTGAGCCAAAGGGTGACATGGACTCTGTCAAAAGAGCTCCCTGTGCAGAAGGACAGAGGACAAGGGGCCCCACAGGACCAGCCCAAGCTGGGGGCCTGGGATGGGAGCAGAGTCATTCTGTGCTGATAGAAATTGGGAGATTTGACTCAACTGCAGTGAAAGGATTTTCACACAGGGATTGGGACCCATCAGGCCACTATGACAGTGCAGAGGCGATGGAGGAGTGTGACGGGGTGTCACAGGAGAGGCATAGTGAGGGGGGTAGAGGGGGACATTTGCCCCCAGGCGGAAGTCCAAGGGGGTGGCCAGAATGACATTCCTAGGCACCACAAATATGAAACGCACCTGACTGAGGCAGCCAGACAAGAGGAAGGAAGACATTTCTGCTGATGCCATCACTGCTATCAACATCTATTCATCTTGAAATTGGCAGAGTGCAACTTAGAGATTGCCCCTGGGCGCTTGTTACCCTCACCATGTCCCTGTGTCATGGGTGAGGTAAGAAGTGGCATCCCTGGACCAAGTTCAGCTGATGAAGCAGGTGTGGGGACCAGCACCCTTGCAAAGACCTCCTAGCAGTGAGTGGGGTCCTGCTAGGCCCAGACTCAGCCTGAAGTGACCAGCAGTAGCATCTGCACCTGGACCCACAGCCAACAGATACTCAGCCTCCCTGAGCCAGAGGCTGTCCTGGCAGGGCCCAGAGAGGAATGTCCCTCAGACTTCTTGACCTTGAGCCTGGCCCATCCCTCCTCTCTCCCAAATGCTGTTGACCCCTGACCCCACCACACTGTGGGCTCTGTCCTGGTCAGGCCTGCCTCCCTCCTCTCTGCCTGCCTCAGGCTCTCTCTTCTGCTAAGATGGAGCCCAGGAAATAGGCATTTGGGAACCTGGGCCTTGTGAACACAGAACATTAACCATTCCAGACCCTTCTTGCCCGCATTTCAATGTTGTAAAGAGGCTTTTTGCTCTCCACCTGGAGGCAGTGGGTGGGGTTATGACTGGTCCTGGGCAGGTGTGCAGAGAGCTCCTGTTGTCTATTGCACCCCTGGTACCATCCACCCTAGGGGCATCTTGAGAAGAGTGGGGTGAGACTCAGAGTATGGAGTGACTCTGGGCCTGGGACATGGTGACGTGTTGCCAATGTGTGACCTGAAGCCCATCACGGCAGATCCCATCTACACCCAACTCCAGGACAGACCTGCAGGACAGTGGGGTCCAAAAGTGAGCGAACTCAGTGGAACACACGTACATTGAGAACCTTCTGCGCATCAATGTCTTTGGATTCCGGAGGGCCCTGCCTGGCTGCTTTTGGGTTGGAACTGTCACCTGATTACGGAGGAAGCCCCTGCAGTCGTCCAGCGGGACCCAGGAGTTGCTATCCAGGAGCTCCACCTCGTAGCACAGGTAGGTCTTGTTCAACCCTAACTGTGAAAGGTCATTTGTAAATTGCATCTGGTATGTGTTTTTATCCATCAGGTCTCTAGGACAAGGGCAGGAAAAAAACACAATTTAGAGGCTCCTCCTGGACCCTCTACACTCCGTGCCCTCTACACCTATCCCAGCCAGACCTGCAGAGAAGGACCTTCTGCTGACTGTGCTGGAGACCACCCAGCCCCCCATCCTGACCCCTTCTGAGGGGCTCATGGGGAATTCAGCCCTGTCCTTGGGGCTCCTTGGCCTTGTTGGGGTCGCCCCAGGATTCAGTGCAGGTGCTCAGATACTCTGATGAAGCCCCCGTCCAGGGGTGGGACTGGCCGCCTTCCCTGGGCTCACATCCCTGGCCTGTGTCCCTGCAAGATACTGACCCAAGGGGGCTTTTTGCTCTTGTCTGTGGGTTAACCTCTGCTGGACGGTGCATTGGGCCAAACGCACTTGTGAGAGGAAGCACTGAGGGAAACAGAATGCCAGAGAGTATTCTTTTCAAATAATGTCAGAGATTTTTCTCTAATTATAGAAATAATACTTTAAGAAAAATACCATGATGTTGAAAATTAAAAAAAGATTCTTAGCCCAAGCTCAGGGGCTTTTCCAAAGTGCTGGGGCTTCCTTGGGGCAGGGAGGACAAAGGAGGGAGGGAGCATCCAGGACAACTCTGCAGGGTCCAGCCCAGGAGCCAGGGTCTGACTGGAGATGCTGACTTAGTATCAGCAGGGAGGTCAAGGCTGGACCAGGACAGGACAGATAGAGCAAGAAGAGGAGAGGACGAGCTCCAGGAGCCAGAGCAGGAGGCCCAGAGGGGAGGAGGGGAGACCCTACCAGGGAAGCCCTGGAAGAGTAGGCCCAGGAGTAGAGGGTGGGTACCTATACCTCGAGGCTGCACCTGCCTCCATCTCTTCCATCGGTTCTGGGTTCTGCATCTTCTGCTTCCTCTCGCTCACAGCGTGTGGTCCTTCTCCCTGGGATGCTCTTATATATCATCGGAGCTACCGGAAAGTGCTGACTTCACGATGATGTCACCACCCACTCCCTGACTCAGGACACCCATGCCACCCATGTTGGTATCACAGAAGAAGGAACTTCTGCTCTGCCCTTTTGTCATGTTCCCGGAGTTCTCATTGGCAAGCTTCGGTTTTGATTTCCCGGGCCTGACAACAGCCCTCCCTGGAGCACATGAGTTGACAATAGGGAAGGTGGGCTAGACACGGTGAGGTGACTCTGGAAGCTGAGGCCAAAGAGAGAGGTGTAGAGGGGACAGGTGAGAAGACAGGTGCCACAGCCAGGGATGCAGGCCCTGACACAGGGCTCAGCACGGCCAGAGGGTAGGTTCCAGGGCAGCTGGCCCTGGGCTGTCTCTCAGGGACCAGCACAGGGCATGCCCTGGCCCAGGGACCTGGGATGCTAGGTTGAGGGGACCTGTGCGGTGGGTGGGTAGTGCAGGCACCTGGTATCAGAGGCAGGCACCTGGGCTCACCCCAGCTCTAGAAAACGAAGTAGGCAAACAAGTGTTGAAATTTCTCAATGTCACCCATCTTATTAAATGCCAACTAGAAAGAGGCGTATTTTTACCCACATTACATAGAGGAGGTGATGTGACTTGCCAGAGGCCTCACCCAGAGTACATGGAGGCAGGAGGTAAATAAACCACACGCCTAGGCCAATGCCTCTGAGCTTTCCTTCCCCTCCAGGCCAGCAGAGATGCAGGGATTACTATTCCAGCCCCAATATGCAGTGCAGAGCCAGCCTCCTGCCCTCCCCTGGGCCCTGCCACCTGCCCTGCGCAGACTGCCCCTTGGCATGGAGCAGCCCCTTGAGATGTGTCAGATCGATGGAAGGGCCCTGGTGTGTGGACAGAGGGTGATTGCCGGGGGTCAGAAAGGAAAAGGGTGTAAGGAGCAGTGTGAGGGACCAGAGTGGGCAGCCCTGGTCTCGGTTCCCACCCCAGGACCTTATGTCCTCACCTGCAGCTCAGGTGTGCTGGGGGCAGCATCACTGAGGGGCAGGGCTTGTTTTCACTTTCTGGTTCACAAGTAGAGATTTGAACGCTTCATATGTTTACATCTGTGAACCTTCTAACTGGATGACAAAGAAGACATGGGTTAAAATGTGTGAAGCAAGCAGGGCAGGGGTACTGCCCAGAGTTCCCTTCTCCATAACACCTTGCAAACCCACATGTCAATGCAGGGGCTCCAGAGAGGAGAGGAAAGAGGACCTGGGTAAATCTCCCCACAGCAGAGAGGGCGGTGAGGACCCTGCCCAGGGGAGAGGGTGCACAGTCTGTCCAGGGTCTGAATCCACGTGCCATCACAGGGTGACCAGAGGTGAGTGGATAAACCTTCATTGAGATCGAGCCCCACGATGGGCAACTTGACAAGCGCCACACCTTGAGGCCGCAGGGAGCTCCCGGTTCACCTGGAGCCACTCTGTGGGGCAGACCTTCCTCTTCTGTCTCCCATTCACTACAGCTGGTTCTCCAGGGGCAGCAGTGGCCCTGTGAACACCGCCCTCCCAGGATGCCTTGTGCCAGGAGAGGACACAGTCCCCTAAAGGCATAAGGGGAGCCCAGGGATTAACTCTGGGTCTAAACTGAGCCCTCACACTGCTAAGTGCATGCCCCTTACTTAACAAAAAGAGGAAAGAAATTCATCTGTTCACAGAGAAAACATCCATTCATGCCCACCGCTGCTCTCAGAACACAGGGAATGAGAATTCCGATGTCCTGCTGTAATTTTCCACCAGAGCTGCGTGAAGGGTCAGTGGGGGCAGAAGGGGAGTGGTCCCTGCCTCCAGGAGCGAGGCTGGCCCAGGATACAGAAGCCCTTAGCAGGTGCAGGCTTTGCCTGTGATCTACCCCCTCCCCTGTAAGGACACTGAGGGCAGGATGGAGTGCCCAGAAGAAACCAAACTGGGGTCAGAGAGATAGACAGGACAGCAGGACCCCAAGCAGAGGGGCTGGGTCAGCAGAACCACAGCGTCTGAAGTCAGAGTCTTGCTCTCTCTGTGAGGTCCCAGCTCTGCCACCTCTGCAGGTCCCCTCCCTCCTTGGAGCCAGGATGGACAACAGGCAGATGCTCCCAGACCAGGGTCTCCTCAATGTCCCATACAGTGTCAGGTCCTCGTCAGCATCCTGACAAAGGTCTGTGATGGGGCCTTGGGGACAGAGGGATGGGTCTCACCCTGGCTTCCAACAGCACACAGAGCAGAGTCTCCACTCCTGGGGTAGCCCTTCCTGTCCCCAGGTCAGTCCTTTCACCCAAACTACAGCATCTTATTGATGTTTTAGTCACTTGTTCCAGGGACAGAGGCAGAACTGTGATCAGATCCAGGAAAACAAAACCAAAGAAGCAGTTTTGATGACAAGTTTCTTCCTTCATCTCCCCCACCTCACCACCCCCACCAGGAGAAATGTGGAAATCCTCTGATTTCCGGCAGAGCAGTTGTAGACCCTGGGTGTGTCTGGAGTACCTCGAGGAGGTTCCTTTTTGTCAACTATTGTGTCATTCCCTGGGGCTGCCTCCCTCCTCCCAATGCCTCTTGGTGGTCTGCCCACCCCCGCACCCCTGGGCACAGCTCAGGTCATCCATCCTTTCCCTGGGCTCCTTCCTATCTGGGTCTTGGTGGTGGCCTCTCTGCTGAGACCCCCATTCTGCCTCCCCATCTGAAGCCCCAGGTGCAGCATCACCTAACTGTCACACATCCCCGCATGGTCGCTTACTATCACTGTCCCCATGTGACATTTGAGGAGCCTGAGGCCAGAGGGGATGTTACCAGCCCAAGGTCCCAGCAAAGAGCAGCAGAGCGCAGGTTCCAACCCAGGTCTTTCCGTCTCTAAAGTGTCTACATGAGGACTTTCCTCAGGAGACAGTGATGCAGCTACTGAGACATTGGGGGAGGGGAGCAGGGGAGGGTCCATGGGGAGGCAGGTCAGCCAGGAGCCAGGTGAGGAGTCAGACGGGGCAGCAGATGAGGGAGCATCCGCAGAGAGGTGAGAGGTGAGAGGTGAGGGCGGAAGTGAGAGAAGGATCTGGAGAGAGTGGAGGGGGTGGGCGGCCGCAGGGCTGGGGACCCAGAGTGAAGGGAGTGGTGAGGTCCCCAGCAAGCAGTCAGAGTAGGAGTTTCAGAGGAGGATGAGCCAGGGCAGAGGTAGCCCAGAAATCAGAGGAGGGAACTGTCCCAGCAACTGGTGCCTGGGAGTCTACCCTGTCCTGTGTCACTGTGGGCTCCTGACTCTGAAGCCTTCGTGTCCACTTCCTGGCTATAGGGTGATTCTCCAGAAGCTGCTCTGGCCCATGTCAGCTGTGAACTCCTTTGCACACAAGAAACTATATTGCAATGATGACGATCGTCATTATCACCATTGTTTCCATTGTCATTATTCCTGAATCCCTACCTTCTCTCTTTCCTGACTCGCATGGCAGGAGGGGCAGATCACACACCAGCCGTCAAGGGAAGGGTGGTAGACAGACTCAGGTGACCCCAATAACTCTCCCGCTGGGTTCACACCTTGTGTTGTCCCTTCCCTTTGAGTGTGGCAGGTCCTGTGACTTCCTTCTAACAACAGAATATGGTGAAGGTGATGGGATGTCACACCTGGATGATGATATATTATGTGAGATCCCATCTTGCAACCACCTCCTCTAGAGACTCTCTCTGGTGTTGATGGAGGCAGTGGACAGATTGGGAATCCATGTGGCAAGGAACTGTTTTCATCCAGCCTATCCCAGGACTCAAAAGACCTTCCCTGGTTGTCCCCAAAAGTTCTATGGCAGTGCTCAAACTCTGAGGGGGGATGGAAGTTATCATCCCCAACATCAGGGGGCAATAAAGGTGTAAGACTCTTAGGAACAGACTTTCTGCAATGTCAATTCCATCTTCCACTTTCTCTTCCCTCCTCCAGGAACTTAGCTTCCCCCTCAAAACCTTTCTTCCAATTGAAATCTGATCCAGCCAGAATCTCATTTTTTTTGGAAGCCTCCAAATCCTTCCTCCCCTTCCAACCACCATTTGTCCTCTCACTTGGCCACATCTCCTCCTCTGAGCTCTCTCTTCCACTAGACTCCCAAGTCTTCTCCTGAGTCTCCCATCACTTCTCCCTACAGCAAACAAAGGCTTCTCCGCCAGGGATTCTAAATCCTGAGCACCCCTTCTAGCAACTTCTCATGAACCTCTCCTTACCTACTGCCCACCCCCATGGGTTGCACTCTGACCTGTGGAGGTCATGATGGTAATATGGGCCTGGCCCTCTGCAGTGATCACAGGCCTCCTCATATCCTTTCACACAGTCATAGATGCAGGAGGCAAAGATGCACAGGCTCACATGTCTGTTCCCCCTCAGGAAGGCAGCCACTTCCTGGGCACAGTCAGGGCAGGGGCTCCAGGAGAGAATCAGGTGACCCTGTGGTGCTGCGCCAGGTCCAGCTGCTAAGAAGGAACCTGGTCCAGGAAGCATACTCTGCATGGTGGCCTGTCTGGAGAGAAAAACAACTCTGAGCTAGAAAGAAGGAAAAGTGTTAGGTTTCTTGTTGTGAACAGGAGGCGGGCTGGGAACAGGGTGAGGCAAGTTAGGCAAGGTCTCTAGTACAAAATTAGAGTGGTAACCCAAACCAAAGCCGTTGCCATAGAGTCGACTCCAACTCCTAGCGATCCTATAGGAAAGAGTAGAATTGCCCCATAGGGTTTCCAAGGAGCTGCTGGTTGATTCGAACTGCTTACCTTTCTGTTAGCAGCCAGGCTCTTAACCATTGTACCACCAGGACAGTTATCAGAGTGGATAATATCATAATGCAGTGTTGAAATGACAGATTAGTGTTAATGACTTTTTAATTTGCCTCAGCACAGCACTGTTACTGATTTCTCTGTATATAAGTTTGTATATTTTGGTCATTATGGGATTTTTGCTT